TTCTCCAAACTATGTATCCTCTTCTTCTTCTTTTTTCTATTTATTCATAATGGTTTTCTTTCCCCTTTTCCTTTCATTTATCATTCTCATTTTCTTCGTTGTTTATTTTTTTGTATGTGATTAACCCACCCGTTTCTCAAAAAATATTATTAAAAAATGTTTTTTTTTTGTATTTTTTAATACTTGATTGATATTAAAAACTCAAAACATATATTTATTATTCAGGTTAGTTTATTTTATAGAATTAATTTATCTAATATTAAAGTAATTAATATCCAAAAAAGTGAACTAAATTACTAATATATATCATATTTTTTAACTAAATTTGTCTATTTAAATTGTTTTTTTTTATAATAAATAATTACAATTTTTTTCCTGTTTGTGGATCGATCCATCAACCACAAATTCATTCTTTGTCAAGATTTCTAACTCATTTTGAAATGATGGGCGACACAATCTATTTTTGAAGAGTTTGTATTTACACACACACACACATATATATTCCCAAAACACTTTTATTAACATTCAATTTACATTTAATAAAAATCACATGTAGCTCTTTTTTTTTTTTTTTGCTTCAATATCAATCGTTCCATCACGACAATGCCTTTTATTGCAAACCCCCTTAACATAAATTCAAATTAATTATTTAATGTCATGGTCTCTTTTCTTACTTTATGTTCAACCACATTTTTTCTATAATTTGATAGCATGACCGTAAAAGTATTTACACCCCCTTCTATATACTTTAATATACAGATTTGATCAATTAAAATTAACTCTTAAATAAGACATGGTAAAGCAAGAACTGAAATGTGTGTACATCTTTGTTAGATTAGTAATAAACATAAAAATATTATAAAATTTATGTATTAAAAGAAAAAAAAAGTTTTTCAAATGTGTTTAGTGTTTCAAGATGAAAAATAATTAACTTAAGAAAATTTTTGAGTAATTTTTTTCCTCAAATGCATTGTCTCCTAAACTTTACATAATAAGTGCATGAGACTAGAGGATTTTTATTATTATTTTAAAAATTGGACTCAAGTGATGAATTTAATCGATTTAAACAGTTTAGAAATTAATTTATTATTTTAAAATAATTATATTTTAATTAAATTAGTATAATTAAAAAAATTGATTAGATTTTTTAATCTAACTGATTTTGATAACAAAATTATTTTTAATATATATTTTTTATAAAATATATAATATGTTTTAGTTCTTTTATCTCATTAATTATTTTATTATGTTTTCATCTTATTTTACCTAACATTCATGAGAAAAAATGAAAATGTAATTAAATATTTAATTGGACCAATGATTAAAGGAAGAGTTAGAAAGACCAAAAAATATTTTACTATTTTTTATGGAGTTAGGATTTAAACCCAAAATTATTAGTTTATAATTTGCTTAGTTTACCATTTGGGACAAATTAACTTTACTTATAATTTTTTTTCTTTTTTTTATTTATAAACAAAGTCAAATCCTAAGAAAATCTTAAATTTGTATTTATGATGGTTGAATTCAGAAAAAAGAATAAATAATTTTTATCAAAGTAAAGATATCTCAGGACTCTTTCTTGCATTTCCATCTTATCAAGAACTCACTAATTAGTGTGGTGATCATTCTTAGGCTTATCAAACTTTATTTGTGATGTTTTTATTAATCAATTTACTCTATTTTGTTTCTTATTCTCAATTTTGTTGTTTGTTTTATTCGGTTCCAAAACTTAAATATCAATTTTTTATTATTGTATCTCTTAGAATTATATCATTTGGTATTCATAGCAAGATTTTGTTGTGTACATCCTTTGTTAATTTTGTTCAGTGTTATTATTGACATCATTATTCTACATTGTTCACAATATTGTTTATACATTGCTATGCTTTCGTTTACTATTCATCATATACTCGTTCATTGCTAGATATAAAGTCTGAAAACTAAAAAAAATTATGGTTTTCCAACTTTGTTTTTGAATTTTAATTATATATACAAATAAAAAGAAAATGAGAAAAAAATTTAAAAAAGAAAGAAAGAAGTTAATAAAAAAAATATAGTTATCAATCTTTACATTTAGCGCTCGTCAATTGTGTTGGTAAAAGTCATGCTTCTAATGTCTTTTTTAATTTCATAGTGTCTTGTTTGTTTGTTGGTAATAAAATTGTTATTTGCTACTTCTCTTTTGTAGATACTAAAATTGTGTTTTTTTTTTAGTATTGTCATTACTAATTTGAAAAGTTAATCTTGATGTTAGATTATTTTATTCTTGTAAGAACATCAAGTAGAGAATAAGTGGTAAAGAATAGTGTGATCATTGACAAAAGAGTTGTATTGAGTAAAATACGAGTGTGAAATGTATACACATGAGGGAGTATTATGAGAATAAACTTATTGTTATTTCTAATTTGTTTGTTGAAACATGTAAGGGGAAATACCAAATAATGGAATGTCACAAATGCAAATGTAAATCTTAACTCAATATTTGAAAAGACTAATGAAATAATAAAGTGATGAACTCCATGACAAATTGAGCAAATACAATAAGACAGTCGTGAAAATAAAAGAGGAGATAGGAGAAGAAGAAATGAGAATGAGAGAGAACAAAGACAACCTATAATTGTTGTCATCAAGTTAAATAGCTTAACATTTGAAAAAGAAATGATCTAGAAAATTACTTGGAGTGGAAGCTAAAATTAGAACATTCGTTTGCTTGTAATGAGTACAATGAAGAGCAAAAGATGAAATTGACAATACCAAATAAAGGGAGATAGAAATAAGAACTTATGATGAACTTTTGGACTGAAATGAAAAAAATTATGAAAAATAAATATGTTATAGCAAGTTATAATAGGGATTTGCAACTTAAACTTTAAAGGATAACTCAAGGAAATAAAAGTGTGGAGGAGTATTTTAAGGAGATGGAAGTGGTCATGATTAGAGCTAATATTAATGAAGATAATGAAACAATCATGACTAGAATTTTTAGTGGGTTGAATTATCATGTTAGAGATGTTGTGGAGTTGCAAAAGTAGTTTGAAATAAAGGATTTGTTGTATAAGATTATTCAAATATAACAACAATTCAAGAGCAAGGGAAGTATAAGAAGGAGTTCTTACAATAATAATTATAATTATAGAGATAAGGTTGTGAGAGATAAAATAAGTTTCTTCAAATTTAGTTATGATTTCACATTGGAAGTCACTTAACAAGTTGAATAATTTATCACTTAAAAGTAAGACAAGTGAAATGAAATGTTTCAAATACTTGAGGAGAGAACACTTTGCTTCAAAATGTCCAACAAAAAAAAATGATTATGTTACCAAATGGAGAAATAGATAATGAATCAAGAAGGAAGAGATAGAAATGAAGTTGACTGCATTCATGGGTGATTTGTTGATAATTAGGAGACTTATGAGAAGTGGAATGTAAGTCTTAGAACAAACCCAAAATGAAAATATTTTTTTACTAGGATTATTCCTTGCATATTTGATCTAATAAAAAATTCATTAATTCTTATGACAAACATCCTTAAGTTTATCAAACTTTGTTTGTGACGCTTTCATTTATCAAGTTACTCGTATTTCGTTTCTTATTCTTAATTTTGTATTTCATTTCTTATTCCTAATTTTGTTTGTTTTATTTGATTCCAAAATCTAAATATTAATTTTCCACTATTATTTTCCTTATTCATAATAATAATCTTTATTATTTTTCTTTTAAAAATTATTATTATTAATAATAAATTTATTTAAAATATTATTTTTTTAAAATTTGATTAGATTCCAATTAAATCTCATCAAACATTTAAATATGAACCCATGTCTTCTTCGAATAAATGATAGTTAAATTTAAAAAATATTGATTTTATGCAAAGTGATGAGACTAATTGAAGTGAGTTTTATCACTCTTAACCTAGTTATTTACCAATTGTTGGAATTTATTGGTATCCATCTAGTGTGTGATTGTCACATGTTTTATTTTTAACTATTGGATCATAAATTTAAGAGGGAGTGTTTCTAAGAAACTCATTTTTTAGTCATATACTGAGTTTAAATTTTAGTTGTTGCACCTCGATCGAAAAAATTTGAAGACAAATAATATAAATATGCGTTATGGTTGTTTAAAATATTAAAAGTAATATTTGTAATTTAAAAGTAACATTTTCTTCAATCTTTGTCGGTGACATCCGATGTTGAAGCTAATAAAACGCATATAGCAACGAGTGAATCACAAGTTTATGGTAAAAAGTCAAACCATTGTTTGAAGTTATGAGTGAGATGCGCACGATAACACCTTTCTTTTACTATATTTCATCATGAAAGGATATTGTATTTTAGACGGACATTGTAACGGTAAATTTAAAAAAAAAAAGTTTTTTTCTTTGTTTTTTTTTTTAAAAGGTTACTCTATTGATTGATCACTTTAATGTCAATTTTTGTGTAAATTGTTTCTTTTTTCAACACTAATTTTCTTGATAGCTCACTCAATCATGCAATACACATAATATATTCTAATATCTTGCATATTTTTTATTACTTTATTATTCAATAAATAACATATCAGAATATTAATAAAAATCATATAAAATACATTTATACTAAATCGCATGCCGATTTAACTTAGTGGTATATGACATTCTGGACCGCATATTTTAAAGATTACGCAAATGCTCATACCATTATTTAGGCTAATCTTCCACTCAAGCATTTAGGATGGTAGGTTTTGCATTAGTTAGCAATTAAAGAAACACGTGGCGCCACGCCAGTAGTTACGCCAAACAACTTCCATCTTCTTCCTGAAAAAAAAAATGTGGAAGTGGGACCATCCATTTCACCTAAAGGAAAGATGCTGAGCTGTCTGTGTCAGATTGGAGCGACCAAATTCAGCCACATAGCCAATGACAGCAAAGCTTGACGGAGTTTTACAATACAAAATGATTGTTAGACTACATGGTCCAAACGACCGTCTTCTTAGAGGGCACAAAAACCCCAGATGCTCAATTAGCCTAGGATGTCCTCAGCCATGCACTTGCGTAGTTCGTTCTTCAACATGTCCATCCCAACGTCACATGAAGTTGAAACAGAACACGCAATTCGTCTCTGTGTATTTTTAAAATCCATAGCCAATTTTTCATCCTGACTGCAGTTTTCTCTGAGGATAAGACAAAAAAATACCATGTCACCAACAGAAACTTCATAATTTCTTTCTGCAAATAACTAGTTAATGACTTCACACCTGTCATCAAGATCGTTCTCGCCCATATTTTCCACCATGTCATCAAAAATATCTTTGAGATTTTCAAGAACTTCCAGCTCATTTTCCAAGCTTTCTTGCAACTGCAAAACAAAGATTCTAATATACATTAAAAAGGTGAATCAATAAAATTTGACGAACAACACAATATGTAAACTATCTAATAGGTACAACGCATGCTTTTTAACAAGAACTTTCTACTTTTCATTCTTTAACTATTATCCAAGCTTTCAGCACATTGTCCAAGCTTTCTTGTTACTATAAAAGGAAGATTCTATAAAAAAGGGTGAATCGGTAAAATTTGACGCCCAACAACTATATATTATTGGAAGAACAATGTATGGGTGCATGTTTTTAACAAAAACTTTCTACTTTTCATTCTTTAACTATTATCCTTATTTCTTTTACAAATCTTTTTATACTTAAAACCGCATGACATCATTAGAGTCACCTAGACAATTTTAAGTGTACTCTAACAAAGTATATATAAACTATTTTGAGTTCAACTCCTAATACACGAACATAAAATATAAAATGTATTCAACGTTTTCTATATTTAACAAGGACAAGTAGTAACAATTGTGTAATTAGATGATATAAAATCAATCATGCAAGAATACTGATATGCATTCGACTAAGGAGTTTAGGGGAATGCAATGTTCTCTTTCTCTGAAGTGAGGTAAAACTATGCATTGCGTGATAAACTTCTAATAAAATAAGTTCTGAGAACAAGATAGGATGGAAAGGAGAAAGAACAGTACAAAGGTCTTCGTCCGCAGCATGGGACTCTGAGATCTCCTAAGATGGTCCAATAATGGAGAGGGAAGACCATAGTAGAATATCCTGTGATCCTTGGAGAGCCAGGTACCGCGCACCATGTGACTCGTCCAGTTGGAACTGGGTATATCATTAGAATCAACGTCGGTACCGTCAATGTCTGCAAATGACAATTGGTTAGAATATCAATGGGACAGATAGGACTATCTAAGGTGCAATAAATTCAGGAAGGGACGTTACTCAAGATTATGGACTGGATGGAACGGAGCGTAACGTTTACCTATCGGAATAACATCGTACGGGTTGTCTCCTTGTGGTAAAAAACCATAGAAGGTAATTAGATGAGAGCTGGAGAAGTTGCCATAGCTTAACCAGCATTCTTCTCCAGATCTGCATGGTCTTGATAAACAAAATTTCAGTGAATTTGTTGCAGGATCCACTTTGCCATAGTGTATAACATGTGGACACAGCTGTTGTCGGGGTTCAGAAAAGAAGTAAGACAAATAACATTTGTAGGTGTAAAACGCTACAATGCGTATTTCTTAAATAAGAAAAGAGGTTTGTGTATAATCAACAAATGTAACGCACCAAAGTAAATAATTGTCAAACATCAGATATCACAGAACTGCTAATCCACGTATAGAAAGCAACAAATTAATTGGTATCAACTTGCAGGTAAAATCAATCTAAAGAAATGTCAACCGTGTTATGCCATTCTTAATAACGTAATTTATAGCTCTTGTATTTTCAAATTTCGTTACCTTAAGTTTATTCATTAAATTCAGCGATCAAAGCATAATATTTGAAGATCACAAAATTTTATCTAAATATTGAAAAAGGAATGGAGCACAGGAGAAAACTTGCTAAAGAGAGAATATACATACTGAATGATTAAGAAAGCCAGCTATAGGGATTAAGCATGTTTTTAGCTTTCCATCGGAATACATTATCTTCATGCTATTAGAGTACCAAAGTTCACAAGCCCATAAAAATTTCTTCCATGTGTACAGCTCTGGTGGAAATATATCAGGAAAAGTACTGGACAGAGCAGGGAACAACTCATCATATTGAGCATGCAGGTGCTGCCATAAAAAGAAAAAAGTCACTGCTTAAAGCCGGAAACTTTCAACAGTATGCCGTGAACAAAAAAGTAGGAAATAAAGTCTATGTGAATCATTTTATTTCTTCCTTTGTAAAAAAATATATTGAATAGGGAATATTTATTAGAAACAAAAATTTGCCCTCCCTTCCCTTTCCTTCCAAACTCAACTCCCAAATATACTATAAGAGATCCCTCAACTTAACAGGCTATTTTTTCTAGGTAACTTCCGATTCTGGCTCATATTTTGTATTTAATATTTTGTCCTTAAAAGGGGCAGGTACTTAGCCTTAAATTGAAACGATCAACAACTTAAAACCTGGAATAAACTAATAAGAATAATTCAATGTTTCAGTACCTCAAAGGAGGGCAAAACCTTCAATCTAGACACAAGTTGATCAATAAATATGTCATAAACTCGGAATTAATTACCTGTCTTGCGTGCATTATCTCTTCCAACAGCAACGTTCCATCTAACATTGTAATTGCTTCAAAGCTGAAACTCAAACCTGCAATGTTAAATGCCGAAGCATATCATAATCTTATTCACAACTCGAATTCTATGATTTGGCTAACTATTGATCTGTATTATAAGATAAATACCAGATGACTTTGTATTGTATGATATATGAATGAATTCGTGCAATGTCATATTATCAATACAGAACACACAATTTAACTATTTGTTAATTATTCTTTTTCTTTTGTCAATTCTCATGAAAGAAATTGAAAGTTCATATAAGCTTAAATTGCTAGATGAAAAGGAACTGTAGGAGCACTTCTCACTTTTATTTGATCATTCCACTCCTTAATTTGTCACCCACTCATTTAATACATGCACTTTATTAGGCTACTTTTTTTGGTCCATTTCCACTCAAAAAGAGGCTTCACAAACAAACTCGTATAATATAACTAATAATTTCATTTTGAGACTTGTGGATAAGTTGTTTTTGTCTATTTCAAATTTAAAACTATTATATTGAATTGAACACTACATATCATCTATATGATATATATTTGAAGTTATTTTTAAGTTGTAGTTGAATCTTACGGCTTGATACAAACTACATTCAAAATGTCATAAAGCAAAATATCAATCTCTGGATTAGTTACTTATGAACTTGGTCAATGCAAACAAAAACTTCAAGAACTCAGATTTGAGGTGTCTATGCAGATGACACTCATTTGTGGTAATCACACCTGCTAAATATAACCTTAAATCCAATGTTACATGAGAGAACCAAAAACTTCTAGATAAATTGTCATTTCAATAGACAATATCTTATCCAGACTCTAGAGACAACACCATTCATGTAACTTATGCAGATGACACTCATTTGTGGTAATCACAGCTGCTAAATATAACCTTAAATCCAATGTTACATGAGAGAACCAAAAACTTCTAGATAAATTGTCATTTCAATAGACAATATCTTATCTAGACTCTAGAGACAACACCATTCACTTCATTAATTCTAATGACTAGCTAGTCTTCGAGTGGTTCTTAGATAATTAGACATGCAACAAGCTTGTTGCATAAGCATATATCTCTAGTTTGAGAAAGTGTGGCGAAACATGCAAATAATGTCTAGATGTGTAATAGTTGTGTAATTAAGATAATTGTAATAGTTGTAATTATTATCCGTTTATATATTTCAACTCCATTGGGTACCTTAAACATACATGTACTACATCACATGTCTCTCTTTTTTCTCTTTCCTTGTAGAATTCGTACTAAAGCATGAAGATTAAAACTTGACAAAACCACATACCCTATGGAAACAACGCATAGTAAAGTAAGATTACCTGTATTAAATTTTTCAGGGAGTGTGTCAAAATAAATTTTGAATTTTGAATCACTGTTGTACTTTTCTTTCATACTCCATAATAGCAATATTGTCTCAGATGATATGCCTTCAATTTCTTTTAAGACACCATACTGGATTGGATAAAGACAATTATCAGTTATTAAGAACATGATGGAGGGTGAACATATCACATTTCCCCCTTTTTATTTATTTTAAGAAAAAGTGATACCTACAATAGATGGTAATAAGAATACTCAAATAAAACACAAAAAGAATGGAATAGAAAGTATAATTGTCTATATTTAGTATTTCTATGATTAAATATATCAAAGACAACTCCCAAAATGGGAGAAAAGAGTCTCTCTGCTCCCAAAAGTCCCCCCCCCCTCCTTCTTTATTCTCTCTCTTCTTATAAAAAAATTCTCACACGATTTCCTCCCTCCACGTCAACCATTATGTTATTACAGAATCAAGTATGTAAGCTTGTTCGCCCCAAGTGATGGGTTTCCACTTCCTCCTCTCATAAACTTGGTGGATTTTTTCCTACTCTGCCCTTCCCCTCCTTTTTCTTCATTCATAACAACATTTGTCCCTCGAAAATTCACTTTGTCCTCAAGGTGAAGTTCAGGAAAACATTCCATCATCTTGTGAAGAGGTTCCCATGGATTTTCACAAGCTAGTAGATTATTCCACTTCCCTAACACTTCCACAGTTTGTTCCCCATCTCCTCTTACATCTAAGACTTCCTCTGGTTGGGCTGCTAACTCCAAGTCTTCAATCAGATAAGGAGGTAGTTGTTGAACAACAACTTCCTCCGCCACCCTTGGTTTCAATAAAGACACATGAAACACGGGGTGCACCTTGCTATCTTCTGGCAATTTCAATTTATAGGCCACCTCTCCAATTCATTCCAGGATCTCATAAGGACTATAGCACCGTGGGGTGAACTTTTGGTTTACTCGTTTAGCCAAATTCTTCAACTTATATTGTTGTATCTTCAAGTAGACCATATCTCTCACCTTATATTCCACCTCCCTTCTCTTTTTGTTAGCTTGCTGTCTCATCCTATTTTGAGCTTGCATCAATTGATCATTCAAAATTACTAGCATTTTATTTCGTTCCTGAAGCATCACAACTATCTCTTCTATAGGGGTTGCGAGAACATCTCCCCTAACTACTGAAGGAGGATCTCTTCCACATAAGGCCTTGTTGAATGGAGTCATTTTGGTGGACTCATGATAAGTGTGGTATACCACATCAGGCTGCTCTTCATATTAGTTCTACTCCTGTCTTTCATAAAAGGACCAAACACATTGAGATTGACTGTCATTTCATTCGAGAAAAGATTATGTCTGGAGACATCAAGACTGAGCTTGTTAACTCAAGTGATCAGTTAGCAGATATTTTCACTAAGTCTTTACGGGGGCCTAGAATTGATTATATTTGTAACAAGCTTGACACATACGATTTGTATACTCCAGCTTGAGAGGGAGTGTTAGATATTGTTTAGATATTATTTTATATTGTTAAGATATTGTTAGATATTGTTAACCATAATATCAAACAATATCTTCTGTTTATTCTGTTTACTTTCGGTTACTCTTTTAGTTGTACTTCTCTCTATTATAAATAGATTACCCTATGAGTAGTTTATACACAAGGGAGATTAATCTCAAACCCTATTTCCTCTATATTCAACACCATTCTACGAATTGGATGGTATGAATGGTTGCATACTGCATTGTTCTAGAGAGTGCATCAACTACTCGATTTTCCTTTCTCGGTTTGTACTTAATTTCGAAATCAAACCCAAGCAACTTGGAAATCCACTTATTTTGCTCCTCTCCCATCAATCTTTGATCCCTTAAGAACTTCAAACTTTTCTTATCAGTATGGATTATAAAATACCTCCCAAGTAAGTAGTGTTGCCATTTCTGTATAGCAATGACCACTGCCATTAATTCTTTTTTATAGACCGACTTGTTCAAATTCCTTGTAGAGAGGGTTTGGTTCATGTAAGCAATTGGTTGGCCTCCTTGCATTAAAATTGCCCCTAGTCCTTGGCTCGAAGCATCGATTTCAATCACAAAAACCTCTAAAAAATCTTGTACCACAAGCACTAGTACTTGAGTCATTTCCTTCAACTTTTCGAAAGCTTTTTGAGTTGATTCATTCTACTAAAACTTGTCTTTCTTCAGCTGTTGGGTCAGGGGCTAAGCTATCTTTCCATACCCTTTAACAAATTTCCTATAATAGCCTGTGAAGCCTAGGAAACCTCGCAATCCACTCACATCTTTAGGAATTGGTCATTCCACCATAGCTTTGATCTTATCAGGATTCGCAACTACTACTTGGCCTGACACAATATGGCATAAATACTCAATACTCTTCCTTCCAAAAGAGCATTTTTTTTTTTCACCACCAAGTTGTGTGACTGTAGTGCATACAACACCATTCTCACATGCTCCTGATGACAATCTATACTCTTGCTAAAAATAAGAATGTCATAAAAAAAAACAAGGGCGAATTTTGTCAAATAAGGACGAAGGACTTGATTCATAAGAGCATGGAAGGTAAAAGGTGCATTAGTAAGCCCAAAGGACATTACAAAAAACTCATAGTGACCCTCATGAATTCTTAAAGTTGTTTTGGCTGCATCTTCTCTCATTCAAACCTGATGATACCCAGATTTGAAAAAAATTTGAGCTCCTCCTAGTTCATCTAATAGCTCATCTATGATGGGTATAGGGAACTTGTCTGGCTTGGTGAGCTTGTTTAAAGTCTGGTAGTCCACACAAAACCTCCATCCTCCATCTTTTTTTCGTACTAAAATGATTGGGTTACTGTAAGGGGTTGTTACTGAGTCTGATAATCCCGACAACCATCATTTCTTGCATAAACTTTTTAATCTTAGTCTTTTGATAGTAGGAATACCTATAAAGCCTGATATTCGGAATGGTGGTGTTATCTTTAAGATAGATGACATGGTCACAATCCCTCTTTGGAGGCAAAACAGTGGGCTCTGTGAATATATCCTTAACATCAGCAATGGTAGGGCTGATAGGGTATTTTTGCTTAACATCAGACAACAAAGTGGCTTGACATGATAGCACATGTCCTTCTCCTTAATAGGTAAGAGCGTTTATCATCGTCTTCCATGATGCTTGTGATTTGCTTAGGGAAGGATCACCTCATACTATTCTCCTTACCTTTCTCTCCCCAAGTAAGAATCAAGTGTTTAAAGTTCGCTTTAATATTCTCCAAATTAGTCAACCAATCCATCCCTAACACCAAATATGTCCTTCCTAACTCCATGATGAAGAAATGTTGAACAATAGGAACTCCTTGCACTTCAACTTCCAAATGCTTGCATATTCCGCAATTCCTCACTTTGTCGCCCATTCCTACCTCCATCTCATAGGCCTTCGTGTCATTCCCTTTTAAGCTGAGCTGCTTAACTAATTTCTTGGAAATGATATTAGTCAAAGCACCACAATCTACCAAAATTATCACCTCTTTGTCCTGGACCATGTCCACCACCTTGAAAGATCTATTAGAAGTTAAACCTTCTTTGCTTTGTAGAGAAATGTGCAGGACCTTGCTAGTGAGAGGCTCACCCTATCCTCCTCTTCTTCACTCCCTTCCAATTCTTCACCTTGTGATCCTTCAATCAATACAAATTGATAGTGTTTTAATTTACAAACATGCTCTCGACCCCATGTCTCTCCACATTTAAAACAGAGTCCTTTCATCCTTCTTTCTCTTAATTTCACTTGAGACACTTTCCCTTCACTTAAGGATTTCTTTTCTCCAAGGTTTGTTTCCTACAGCTTGTTACTCAGTCCTTCCTTATTTCCTCCTCTCTCCCACCTAGTGAAGCCATGAGTATGTCTTCCCGCTGTCTTCTCCATCCATTTTTTTTAGAATTTCATCAGTCTGGCTTTGCGTAGAGCATTATTCTTCTCTTCCAGTAGCAAAGTCCTATCCATCATCTCCTCAAGAGACCCAGTAGTAAATAACTCCAATTCAACCTGAATCTCTTCCTTCAAGCCATTGAGGAAAATGCCTTTCAGCATTATTCTCTCCTTCAGCGGTGCGGACTCGCGTTCAAATTTTTCCCTGTATTTCATCACAGAACTGGTTTGTTGAAGACTCAATAGTGAGCCCAAAGGATTTTGGACCAGCCCTGGTTGAAAGCATCTAATCAACGCACCTTTAAACTCCTCCCATCGGGGTTCTTGACTCTACTCTGTCCACAATTGGTACCAGCTTAAAGCCTTATCTTCCAAGGATATCACCACGACATCTAGTTTTTTGTCATCTTTCACCAAATTGAGTTTGAAGTATCGTTCAGCCCTCACAATTCAGTTGTAAGCTCCCTCTCCTCTAAATACTAGAATCTTAAGCTTCTGCCCTTCGAAATCACACGAAGACTCATGACTACGGGTTTGGGTCGTGTAGCTGGCGTTGTCCTCCGTCTCCACTTCGCCATCAACAACATTATGCGGCCCCTCCCTCTTGTGCAAGCGGCGCCTGCAAGGTCGTCCCTTTTCGGGACCTGCTGTGAGAAATTATTAAAGTCTTCAACTCAGCTAGTTGTTGCTCGAGCCCCTCCATGCGTTGTTCCATTGCACTACTAGTCAATACCATGCACTCCCAAAATCGAGTGTTCTGATACCACTTAATAAGAATACTCGAATAAAACACAGAAAAAATGAAATAGAAAGTATGATTGTCTATATCCAATATTTATGTGATCAAATATTAAAAACAACTTCCAAAATGAGAGAAAAGAGTCTCTCTACTCCCAAAAGTTCCCTCCCTCCCTCTCCCATTCCCCCCTCCTTCTTTTTTCTCCCTCTTCTAACAAAAAGATTCCCACACGATTTCCTCCCTCCACGCCAACCATTATGTTATTATAGAATCAAGTATGTGCGCGTTTGTGGGGCCCCAAGTGATGGGTTTCCACTTCCTCCTCTCATAAACCAGGTGGATTTTCCAACTCTACCCTTCCTCTCCTTTTCCTTCATTCGTAACAGATGGAAATATCCTTATCAAATAAGAGGGATCGGAGTCCAACTATATTATCAGTCTTTCCAACCAAGACAGAGTGCTTCCATTAAAGGATGGTCACATTAACTAGCATCCTACATAACCTTATTTTACAATGTTGGAGATAAATGAAATGCAGGCACAACATAGGTATTTATATTCAACTCTTAAATAAAATGGCACCGTGTTGAATGCAAAGGAGCTAAAGCATAATTTATTATCATCCAATAGTTGTTCGCAGCAAATAAAAATTTATCTACCATAGGTTTCTTAAATAAGTTTTGAATAAACTTTCTTCACTTTTTTTCAACAAGGAAACATACCATATCAGTTTCATGCACAAGCTCCTCAGAAATGATAATAGACACAGGAATGTCCAAAGCAATGTCTCCAACTTTTAGATCTTTCCTTGCTATTGCACCTCGACCAGCTCCTTCAATATCTGAGTAGATTGGGGGGCAGGGGAGGGTATTTGCATATATGTGTTAAAGGAAAGCTCATACTTATGAGCAAAGGAAAGAAAATCATCCTCTTTGAATGAGGAAGCAACTAAAAAACAAAGAAAGTTGCAGTGAAACTTACAAGCTATTTTTAACTGTGTCATTACACCATTGCTTTCACCCCATTCTATCAGGCGTTCTTCTTGGTCACAACTGTGGTCCTTTTCAACTACTCCCTTCACACTATTTTTCTCCCCCAAATCAGAAATTAAATCAAGAATTGTTTGGCGTAACCTTTGCAGGATGTCAGTATGGAGATGTGTACAACTAGATAGTGATATGTCAATGAGCAAAACAATTGAATTGAGAGCCTCCAACTCATTCCTGGGACTGTAAAATTCTGTTGAAGTGCATACATCTTCAGCAAAATAAAGTTCCAGCTGCAACTCAGTAAATCAGTTAATTCATGACTTGTTAATGTCCTAAAAATGAAAAGTGGAATAGAAAAAGATAAGAAAAGATCACGGTATAATTTATTTCAGTTTTGCCTCATCAAATTGATCGAGAAGTAATAAGCTTATTTCATAAAGATGTGTGGAAAATCCCAAGACTACCACAACCCCTTAATTATAGTCTGTCCTTAGATTGATAATGAGTAACTGTAACTCAGTATATATTATAGCCATAAAAGGATGTAACCTCATTTAATTGAATGATCCGCGCAATCTGAAGTAAAACCTCCACAGTAGCACTCATCCAGCCAGGTTTTGAAGAGCTCCTGAGGTATATGCGTTCTTTGGGACTAAAACCCTTATTTTGTAGTAATTTCTGATAAAACGATGTTAAGTAGAAATGGCTTAGGACTCAGAAAATATAAATCACAGGCATATTAGAGTAATAGCTTAATCATTGTGCAATTATACAGCCTTTAAATTTTACAAACATGAATATGAGCAGTTTGTCACCTAATCGTTGTCATGCTTGAAACTCCTCAACGAAAAACACAAAAGTAAAAAACTTAAAACTTAAAGGACTTTATTGTCTTATTTTTACCTTCTTTTTGTCAAAGAAAGGATCCCTCTCAGACAATTCAAGAACAATTGAGTACTCCTCATCAGTATCCATGACTGCAACTGCAGTGAAAGTTTTTGAAGTCAAACACTGATCACTAGGAAAAAGTATAATTGTAATCTAAGCAGAAGTTCCTCATCAACATTTGTAAACGACTATCACTGACTTGTCATCCAAAATGCTAAAACGCGAAATCCAGAACTTAAACATTTACATTTTCTACTTACTCTTCATTCCAACATAATCTGGTGTAGTTACTTCTCCACTAGTTTATATGTTTTAGATTCATTAACATTTCAATATAGACCTGATATTTGAAAAGTGTAGGAAAAATAAACACTAAAATAGGAAAGAAAAAACAACTATGCATTTCTGGCAATAGCACTAGAAAGAATTGAATATCACATTCTGACTCCTATCTGCAATAAGCTAAGTGGAAAATTAATTTCAGCAATCTTTGCCACTCGTTCCAATTGTAACATACAATGACTGCCTATTTTCTTTGATCACTAACAATTGCTCAGCAACCAAACATGCACAAATTAAGATTAGAATCCAAGCAAGAAATTACCACAACACCACGACAGGCTCTAAAATAAATTGCGCCTGCTTCAGAGAATAATGCGAGGCTCACTTCGTAGTTCTCTTTCAACTGAAGCCACCAACAAAGCGTAAGAGGAATTTAAGCGGCAAAAAATGAGCTCAAGCTGGTGAAAGTAGCGAGACACAAAATGTTGCCACTCTGAAGCTTTGCCCTTGCTTCTTCAAAAAAATTTATCCAACGGCTAAACATACGTTTTCAGTGCTGATTGTCCGGTCTTACAGTAGTTTAAGATGGAACCGCTGCACCAGAAGAAAACCCCCTCAACAATAATAAAAAACAACAAACATAGATTGATCCATTAAGTTCACGGGGCTGATGGGCCTGTCTAATAGCCCATCTTTTCTGGGTCACTTTGACGTATCCAATTTCCAAACTATTATTTCTTTGGTAGCACCAATTTTTTTTTTTAATTTAATCCTAAAAACTATTTAATTTGTAATTCTGGAATTTAGAATATTTGTCTGAAAGTAAATTATATAAAAGTGGTTGAATTCGTAAAACATTCCTGTAATAAAAAAATATATTTAACATATTTCAAATCAAGATAATAAAAAATAACTTGACAAACAAAGTAATTTCCGTCCCAAACAAAACTGGAGCAACAGATAGGAATAGTTATTTTAAAAATCAGAATAAATAGTGTAGAACAAGATAATAGAAATAATTATCATAATTTCGATATAAAAATGACAAAATTATAAATAAGAACCTAAAAAACAGATTCAATCGTTAATTTTCTTACTTAAAAAAAAGGAAAAAAACTATATTAGTTATTACTTAACTATTACAAAATATTACAATTCAAAGACAAGGACGAAGAGACGGATTAAAACATGAGAGATGGATATTTGGTCGCAGATTGATAAATGTCTTTTGAAGAAGGTGTAGGGACACAGTCTCTTTTTTAGCCGTCGAACCCCACGTATTGCTTTTAGAATTTGTCCCTATCTTTTTAGAGATTTTTTGGTTCGAAGAGAACTAATAAATGTCAAGGGGTTGATCGATAATTTGAATGGATTTGAAGAAGTTATTTTAAGATAGGATTGATGTAATATATTTGAATAAGATTTCAGGTTCATAAAAAAATAATAATAATAATAATAATTATACGAGCTTTTTAAGGATCAACAATAACATTTTTTTGATAAATATTAACAGTTATCATGTACAATTGATGAATATTTTATACTTGATATAACTTTTAATTTAAAAAGTAAAATGAATAAGTCGGTTTATGATTAATTTTACGCCCAAGCAAATATTTAGAAGTACATTGCAACTTTGGTTGTGATCCACATATCACAACATCATTATGCCTTTGAACTTTATCACTAATGTCTCATTTTCTTTCATATTTAAAAATTATTTTAATTTAAAACTAAGGACTCATGTCAACGAGAATAAGTAAGAGACTTTTTATAAATATATTTATATAGTTTATAATTTTAACTTATAACTATTATCTTATTAAAAAAAATAAAAACTTAGAACTATAAATGAAGTGAATAAAACTCAAAGATGAAAACCTCCTCTGTGTCCAAGAAACTTTTGGAGGCTATGTCCTAATAGTAAGATCATACATAGTAACATAGTCTTGAAAAAAAAGTTTAAAATAGAATATATAATAAAATAAGATCTCTATTTTTTTAGTAGTTTTTTCTTTTCATCATTAAAAAAAGTTTGTTTTTGTTTTTATAATAATTTTTTTTAACTTCATATTTTAAGAAAAGAGAAAATAAGTTAAAAAATTCTATCAAATACTATCCTACTAAAGCAGAATTTCACTAAAAGATCAATGGTCTATATTTTCAGTGAAACCCACGTACATTTGACCTGATGATAGAAAATAGATTCCAAATAAAGTATTAGAAAGTGTACAGTGATTGTTTTTTATAAATATTACCTTTTGTGTCTTATTACATAAAGGAAAAAAAAACATTTACCCTTTATCTTTTTGTTGGTTCATTTTTGTTAACGAAATTTATTTAAAAAAAAATAATTAGATGTGTATAACATTCTTTGATATACATCCACTCATTAATTTTAAAAGTGTTTTAAGGAATTATAGGTTTTATTTTTCTTAAAAATACACTTGACATGCCTTCTTAACCTTCACTATTTAAAAATACACATGAGAATGAATTTATATGAGTGCAGCGTGGAGAATTATACAATAATGGAAGGTGGAATATTGTTGCTTAATTAGCAGAAAAATCATAACACTGTTGTGTTTTATTCTTTATCTTTATTTTCTTCAGGTCAAGCTAGACATAGAATAAAACAAAGTGTATTCCTATCGTTCAAATGTTCTCTATATTGTTGAATCCATGTATACGCCTCTCTTTTCCTAAATATTGGGACCATTTTTTAAAGCAGATAAGGACTTCATTGGATATAAAATGGATATAATATTCTAGATAATGAATGTTTTGAAAGTAATAAAGAAGTAACAGTTTATTTGTTGTTTTAAAGTAATAAAAATTGTTAAAATAAATAAATACATCAAATCAATTATTAGTTTTAACTATTTTTAATAAGAATGAATAAAATTCAATATTACATTCAAATCAATCTTGTGAAGACCTATTATCTCACCTTATTATTACTTATTTATCTATAATTTGGTATGTTGGTTAGCTTAGCATATGTTCAAATTAATTAAATTTCAATCAGGTTAGGAAATACAAAAATATAAAAAGAAAAAAAAATATGATTAAGTTAAAAGATAAATTGCAATTTTCAGTGTAAGTTTGTTTTGACCATTACTTCTCGAGCCTTATGTGCATTAGAGTGACTTGTGGAACAATAGTATTTACACTGTTTCTACTACAAGAACAGAGCATGATAACACAAAACTAGTTTAAGAAGCTTCTTGCAATGCTAATACATTCACATATACCCTTCCAAACCAGGGGAAGCAAAACCAAACAAATGAGACAAGATAGAGTAAGAAAAGGAAACTTGGTTTATGGGAGTTAGAAAGTTTTGTTTTTGTTTCAAATAAAAGAGTTTCGGAAGAGTTGTTTTACACCGCCTAATAAAACCATCTTGCTTATAAATGGGAAGAGTCCAAACAGAAAAGGGGTTCTGGATTTTGGAGAGGAGATTGGTCACACACTCTTGGTTTTTTAAAAATTCGTTTTCTAGTCGAAGGTGACTCTGATGATGATGGTGACAAATCTCAACCTCTGTTTAATAGAATAATTTGAGATAATATTTTGACTGAAAAACGATTTAAAGCAAACAAAAACACTGCTATGTATTTGAAATTATTTTGAGAAGTCAGATGGTAAACTACACTACATCCAAAACATCCAGTCCTTTTTGGTGAAGAATCCTTTGTTGTGGCAGCTTGCCATTATTTTGTAAATGCCAACCATGCACAACTCATTTTCCGTATCTTTTTTCCATTCAAAATTTAATTTATACTTTTATCATTGTACAAAATGTTCACCGTTGAGCATGGTTCCAAGAGTATCTGATTCTTTGTACTCCCAACGAAAGCGATCGATAAATGCATCCAACGGTTGCAATGAAATAGTAAAAAACAAATTCACTTGTTCTGATTCTGTGGACTTTGAAGGAATCAAGTATTTTGATTCTTGTCACTTCCTTTTCCACAGACAATCAGTGGCTACCATCTCTTTTAGGCTAAACGGGTAGAAAAAGAATGTAGCATATACTGGTGAAAACAAGTTAGATGAAGAATAAGGACCCTACAACATTGCATGTAATGTAACATTATTTGGTCTAAGATTAAGCTATAATCTTAAATGTATCTAAAAGTAACATTGTTGTATGTGAATATATAAGTTGGGTCCGTTGAAATTATTGGGACTTTTTGTATTGAAGGGGAGAAAACAAGTACGGATAACTTTGCTGGGTTAGCAAAAGAGCCAAAATCACATCACGATTCACGTCCAATATTTGGGTTTGGTGGGGCATCTTATATGGCTGAATGGGGAACCATTAGAATAAAAATCTTTGCATTGATCTCCAAGCAAGAAAATGACACAAAAACGCTGAGAAAGAGAGAGTAAAAGCAAGAAGGACTTGTTAGCGCAGCGTCCTTGTTCGTAACGCTATTTCATTCGCATTGAAGTAGAACTGTGAAACCTGTAAGTGTTTTACTAACGTGTGTGGAGGGGTTTTCTTCACAGGACATCAAAGTGTTGCACGTGTTATTGCTGTTTTTAATTGATTCATAAAGACCTTCAATATTAACGGTCCACAATTTTGAATTGTCCTCGTTAAATTTAATCACTCAATTTATTCTTGGTCGCTAAGCAAGGAATATGGGTGCTAGATAAAAATATTATTTTGGTCATGTTTAAAATAAGAAATAAATCCATTGAGCGAAGAATGGACCTTTTTCCTTAAAAGAATCGTGTACTAAAAAGTCATAGAGAAATCCTAAAAGTACTATATGAAGCAGAACGTACATTATTAAATAGAGAAATGTGTATCTCTATTATACTCATGAATGCATGTTATGTGCATAATAACTTGAAGATTAGGATGGAAAGACAAGAAAATTAAACAATGTCTTTAGGTGATGATTCGGCGTGTTTTAAAAACTAAATATCATATTCAATTAAAAATTTTATTTGCGTAATAGTGTTTCAACAACTGATGAATCACTTGCTTAAGTACGTTAAATGGAGAAATGCTTAGGAATGCATGTTATGTGCGTAATAAGTTGAAGTTTAGGATGGAAAAACGACAAAAAAACATGCTCAATAAAATTAAACTTACACATTGAGATTAATTTTACGTGACTGATAAAAAATATACTTAATAATTTATCGTCTTTCAACGAATAAATATCATATTATTAGTGCAAAATACTTTAACAAAAAGTAAGTAAACTACATTCCTCTCCTTACAAAAATTACACTATTTAGATGATTTAATTTATACCACTAAAGTAAATTACTCATTCTTCTTTTGGGAGACAAGTGTATTAAAATATCTCTCCTCTATTTTTAAATAGAACATAAACTACATGTTTTTATTTTAAAACATGTTAGTATTACATTATTTTTTCTCATGTTACCAAAATATATAATTTACTCCATTTGGTTTTACATTATTAAAAAAAAAGATATTTTCAAAATTCTCTAGAATATATTTTCAATTAGAAACCACTAAAATAAACACTTTTTATAAGTTTTAATGATTAAATTGTATTAACATATTTGTTGATACACATATAATAATTTAATATACTCATACTGTCATAAAGTTTACTAAATCCAATAATTAACTATATTTAATAATAAATATAATTAAGATTGTGTAAAAAAAGTATATGTTTATCTACAAATAGATACTGTATATATATTTATTCATGTGATTTTATGAGATTGGAAATAAAAATAATGTTTTGTTAGTCATAATCCAATGAAAAGAGAAAAGCAAACGTAGTGCGTTTTTGTGGTTAATTAATTGGGTGAGTTGATTTCATTTGATGTAATAATAATGTGAAAGGTTGTTGCGTGTGAGTTGTGGGCACATACCCTTGAGGCAAGGTCTCTTTGTTTTTGGTACATTCCCTTTTTTCTTAAAGTACACACCACTTACTTGATAGCCTTTACAACTCAATATCAAAATCAGCAACCAAACTTGTCAACTTTTTCTCATTGTATTGGAAGACTTTCTAGTTGCTTTTGTGCCTTTACCCTCCTTTTCCCAACACAAAATCTGCCTCTTCATCACTTCTTTTCCACCCCTTACCTCTCCACCCCCATACTAATTTCAACAATTATTCATCTCATCTCACTCACTCACTCACTCACCATAATTACATTCCATTGAGTGGGAGAGTCATTTCATTTGGCTTGAGCCCATTTGGATTATGGACAAATATAGAAATGCTATGAATTATTGTAAATCATATAGTATATCAGCGAAACACATTTTTTTTTCAGAAAAGTATAGTTAAGGATTTTGGACGTTGGAATATGACAGAGGATGTCAAATGTTATTAAATCTCCTTTTGTGCATGGCTGAATAGGAATGCAGTTATTTTATGTTCTTGTGCTAAAAGGTGAGGTAAGATGCTAATTGTAATACATCCATTCAATTTCTTTTGTTAAAAAGGATATGAGGTATTATTATTTTTTTTTAGTTTGGTTATTCACACCTTGTGGTAATACTAAGATACTAAGATATTTAATCAAATTCAAGTTTTGTCTCTTAAAGTATCAAAGTAAAGGAAAAAAAAAATGTAGGGCTCAACTTTTATTTATTTATGTATTTATTTTAATTGAACCCAAAAAAAAGGTCTTCAACGTTGCATAATTGAATCCATTATGATATGCAACATTATTATGTTGTGATAGTAATATGTTTTTATTTAAAATACATTTTCATAATTGATTATGAAATTCTCGTAAGAGTTTTTAGTTTTTTTTTTTTTTCTTTTCAGATCCTATATTATAATAGTTAAGACAAACTTTTATATACAATTTTTTTTTAAAGATGTCTATATATTAAAATTAGTTATTTATATAAGTTTTTGTTTTTTACATCATCTAAGAAATAAAAACTCTACTAGATAACTTTTACTAGTTAACTTACATGTCAACTAATTTTAACTTAAGAAAAAAATTATTTAATTTTTATTATTGCTCATCCTTTTCTTTTCTTTCCCCTAAAAAAGACCTCGTAGTTTGTCCAAACATAAAATCTCCAATTTAGTACTTGTAAAAGTTTAAAAAATGATTTAAAATGTTTTAATGCGTAAATGTTTAGTCATGGGTCTTGAATATTATAATTTAAAATCAAAATAACTCCTAATTTAGTGTTAAATTAGTCATTCAATATACAGCGTTATAACAAAATGATTTCATAAAACTAAACAACAATTATGAGTCTTTTTCCGTATCCATAAATTAAATAGTTTTTCTTTGAAGTGTTAGAAAAAAGTTGTTTTGAACAAATCATGTGCACCGTGTAGGATAGTAACTCAAACTTTGCTTTCCTTGATGTTTGGTTTGGTTGAAGTCCTTCACTTAAGCATAGACTCCTTTTTCTTTAATAATTTAGAGTTAGTTGTACTTTTATATGATAATAGTCTAAATTTGGAAAAAGGTAATTTTCAAAATAATTTATTTTTGTTAGAAAGAATTGTTGTGCGTAATTATTTTTAACAATTTTGTTCCTTTAAGTTCCAAAGAGCAATGCAACAGTGAACATAATTTGAAGGAGTCTTATTCTCAAATGAACCTCAGATGAAGAAGCAGAATTAACTACATATGATCTAGATGACTAGGAGAAAAAAGGACAACAAATTTAAACACATTCGGCATTGGGATGATGAAATCAAAACCAATTTTGGTAACTTTGAAACCTGATTATTAGCATTGCATTTGAGTAGTGCATTGGATAAACAAGGTTATTACTATGAACGAGAAATTTTTGGCACCGCCACACCTGGTTTAGAATAAGGATAGATTGAAGGGAGGAGGAGAGCAATAGGTCCTGGTCTTCCCTCCCACTCTCTCTCACCTTCATTCATTGCATGATTTAAATTTGTCATTAGGTAACAGTCCTACCCTACTTATTACCATTATTCCCTACATGTCCCATCAGATTACCAACCTTTCCCATGCCATGTGCACCCAGGTGTTCACCAACATCCCAGCTGGCTCCCCAGCCATGTCAGGGTGTAAAGTCCTCCCCACACCCAAATCAAATCTACAAACGGAACAAATCTTGAACTATATCACGATGCAAATCAACTTTCCCTACCTATCTAAGAATAAAAAGGACTCCATTATTCAAAACTAAACCAGACACAAATATGTGACATGTTTCAAATTAGAGGCCCTAGCTAAGCTTCTTCCACTCCCCCCAACCCTGTTGTATCTTACAAGTCATATCCCCCGTAAAAAAATTCTGTTCATCATCAACCAGTACAACTACACTTGGATATTGAACATTACAGTGTATGTATTCATTCTATTCTCCCTGTTCTTCACTGCCCGGGGAAGAAACAAACAAGTCTTGAACAACATTATTATTATCATCACTATATATCACTTCTTCTCTTCTTCCTCTTCCTCCTTGCAATTGTCCTCAATCTCTGACTCCTCCTTAGGACTCTCACTGTCCAAAGCTCTTTTCTCCTGCTCTTCCTCTTCTTCAACCCCATTCTCCCCTCTCAGAACCCCACTTTTCTCGTTCATCTCCGCTCTCACCTTCAACGTTTCCAACAACTCCTCCACCGCCTTCTCCTTCTTGCGCCTGTTCTTGATCAAAACCTCGCTGATGTCCGCTGGAGTCATACGCGCCACGTTAACGACCTCCTCCAACTGCTTCAAAATCGACTCCTCCAACTCACACTCTTCACACCCCAAGTAGTTTTTCAGCAGAATCTTCAACGCCGGGAACGAACAGTAACTCATGAAAATATGCATATCCATTCTCCCACTCCGTAACAGAGCAGGGTCGAGCTTCTCAATGTGGTTGGTGGTAAACACGAAAATCCTCTCACTCCCGCAACAAGACCACAACCCATCTGTGAAATTCAACAAACCAGACAGAGTAATTGTGTTCCCACCTTCCTCACCACACCCACCACCGCCACCACCTCGTAGCTCCGAATCATAGTAACTCCTCGAAGCAGAAACAGAACTGTTACTGTTGTTTCTGTTGGTGAGATTGATAGAGCAATCAATGTCTTCAATCACTATGATAGACTTGGAGCTAGTTTTCATGAGAAGCTTCCTGAGTTCAGAGTTGTTATGCACCTCAGTCAACTCCAAATCATAGATATCATAGCCAAGATAATTGGCCATAGCAGCAATCATGCTAGATTTACCAGTACCGGGAGGGCCATAGAGAAGGTAACCCCTCTTCCAAGCCCTTCCAGTTTTATGGTAGAAAGATTGCCCATTGGCGAAGTCCTGAAGATCCTCCATGATCTCTTTCTTCTTCTGAGGGTCCATGGCCAATGTGTCAAAGGTGCTGGGGTGCTTGAAGGGCACAGATTCCCAAGGGTGCCCCCTGGAGTCCAAGGAGCCACCCCTGGAATTGGTGTACAAAAGACGATCCTGGTTCTTCCTTCTAATATCGCTGGCTTTCTCCATAATGTACTCGAGGTAGGAATTGAGGACCAAGGACTTGTCTTTCTTCTTGATCCGGAGCGTGAAGCCACGCTTCTCGTCGGGAAGTGGGCGCCACGAGAAGGTCTGGGCCTGCCTCTGCGTCACTACGTGCTCCCAGAGGACGTTCACGCCGTTGAACGTGTCCACGATGCTGTCATTGTTGGCGAGCCCGAAGGTGAACCCGCTCGAGTTCAGGGCGCGTGTCAGGCTCAGCCGGTTCCCAGTGATGGAGACGGAGGAGCTGAGGTAGAGCTGCACGGCGTTGTAGAGCTCGTTGGTGTTGACGCCGTCTATCTCCGTTATGTCGAAGTAGCAGTAGGAGGAGAAGCAGTGGAAGATCCGGTTAAAGAGCTTGACGGAGGCGAAACGCAGCTCCGGGGGGAACACTGCTTGGAGGATGGTTTGACAGAAGGCAAACACACCCAGAAGTGACGCCAACGAGGTCCAATATTCTCTCATTTTTCTCCTCTTCTAACGGCTGAGATCAATATATCTCGTAAGCTTGTAATTTTAAGAAAGTGGTGCTGGGTGTATTTATAGAGAGTGAGGCGTTGTGAACTGAGAAAAGAGAAGGGAAGGAGAAAGGGAAGGAGAAAGGAATAAAGGGTGGTTTGAAATGTAACATAAGGTAATGTGATGTGAAGAGAGGGGGGTGGGCCAGGTTGGGGATTTAAGTACAGAGGAGAGAGAGAGAGAGAAAGAAAGAAAGAAACAAAAAGGGTTTTGGAATTTTGGGTTGGGAAGAAATCAGAAATCAGAGATGGGTCCTAATCCATTGGGTTGGGAGCTGGACTAGAGAACCAGCCAGTGTGTGTGTTTAGTGTTTACGCTACACTACACGCCTTTTCAAACTATTCTTTTTTCTTTTTTTTTTTCTTTACACTAATGTAGAAAATTTATTTTCAGCTTTGCTGATGCCACAGATGGATGGATGGCTGACCATCATTCATTCTGAAGTGCTATCAGAATGCCCCCATTTCATATCTTTCTTTGCAATTGGACAAGCAACTATGTTGGAAAAGGAAGGTTTTACAGCTGGTTGCACCCATGTCAATAAACATCTTCTATAACCAGTATGGGTTAAAATAACTTCACATAATTAGAAACACCACAACGCTGCATTTCTGTTGCTATCGTTATTATTTCAAAGCTTACCCTTTTACCTACGTACCTGAATCCTGCTGCTGATAGGGATATGTCATTCGTGCATGTGAGTTTTTGCAGGAATTAATTAGTAGTAAAACCGAGAAGATCTTGTACCATTGGATTTGAGGAAACCTATTCACACTGATGCACGTTGCAACTGTGGAATTCTATTTCATTTGTTTTCACCCATTAATCTCTGTGTGAATTATTAGATAAATGGATAGATTAATTAGTTGAACAAATTGAAACAAAGGAGGTAATCTGACCCCACCACCACACTATTGCTCACATGTAAACACGGTTATCTAATTAATTCAGAATCATTTCATTGTTTTGGAGTTTTATCTTCTATATGAGATTTTTCTGACTACAAATTAATGTGGTTGCTTGTCAGTTGAGAAAAGATAGAGGAAGTAGTTAATTAAGCGAATCAATATGGAGGGATTCTGTGGCCACCCTCTCCTACAATCAAATATCACCCTGGATTCGAGGTCATTTGGGGAGTATAAAACTATAATTTATTTAATCTCACCTTATCACAAGTGTCCAATTCACAATGGGTCCAAACTGCCAACCTTATGAACACTGTTCATACCCCTAAAACACTCATTTCCTTCTCTCTATAGAGAGACCCCCTTTCTATAAACAAAACAATTTGTACCAAAATATTTTCATATAAAGATATAGTAGCAAGGATTCTGATTTTTTTTTTAAGTGTCTTATATTCCCTTAAATGTACATGTATAAAAAACAAAGAGTCACTAATAGAGTCAATTGTGAATAATTTTTATCAAATTATCATTTATACAAAATTAAATTGATCTTATAATTTTACTAATAATTTTCATATTTCTCAATTCATTAGTTCACATAATTTTTTTGTTTCTCCAAATATTTGTCCCCCAATAAAATTTTCTAATTTTATATTATTGATTGCATGAATATCAATTGTGTAAGTTTCTTTTTCTTTTTTTTTTAATGTGAATTAATATATGAATATCAACTGTGAAGAGGCTTAATCCACTACACAAAAAGCAGAAGTAGTAGGTTTCGAGTTTGGAACATTAACTTGGCTTGATACATGTAACTCTCCTGTGTTGTTTTAAAAACGGATCAAAATTCAACTTTTATTAAATTTTTAAAATTATTTTGTTAATTGTACAATTTAATTCAAAATTTAAATTAAAAATTAAGAATAATTAAATTGAACTAGATAACATATTATATTTAAAAATAATAATCAACAAATAAATATACATAATTCTATTTTTATTTAAGTTTAAATATATTTATTTATAGTATATTTAAATTTATATGATATGGATTGTAATTTTTATTTATAAAATTATATAGTTTAAAATATATTAAACTTATTATTGTAATAATCATCATATATATTTTTTTATAATATATTTTTTATAGAAGGATTCATTTACTATAAAAACTTTAACAATAGTGTATTATAAACATCATTTAAAAAAAATAACAATACAGTATAATAAATAGTGTAATCCAAAACTAACGTTGATTTGATTTAAATTTCATGTTAAATTAGAATTGAATTATATAAAATTATATTTTACTTTTTTATTTGCTTTAAATACTTATTTAATGAAAAATAGTTTTACCTTAATCATAAACACATTGTGTTTATCATTAATGAAATTGATTTGAAAAATAATTTGTTAATGACTAAGTTTGAGAACCTAGTACCAAAACCAAAAGCATGATTTTCATTTGAAACAGTGCACTTTAAAGCAATACTATTTGAGTGGTAGAGTCATTGATATGTAGTAATATGGATAGAAAAAAAAAAGTAAGGACAGAAGAGTAGGGTAATTAAGAAATAAGGGCTGTGTGGTTGAATAATTCCATTCTGGTTTGTTTTCTTTATCATTGAGTATGGAAAACAATCAAGTATACTCATTGAATCTCATAATTCAACGTCCTCCTGTACTTTATTATCCTACTTTATACGCATATCCAAAAATGTGCAAAAATCCACACAGCACTTAATCGAAGAGAGAACTTCGTTTGAACCATGTATTAAGCATTATTGTCTTTTAAATATTTACTTGATTTAAGGATAAATTGAACCACACATATTAGGTTACCATGTTAGGATAAATTTACGCTATTTTTCATCTTAATTATAAAAAATAAAGACATTTTCTAGATTATTAATTATTAACTTTTTATATTCTTAATTTATTGTAAGATTTATAAATAAATACTATGAGTGTAATTATTAAATTAATCAAGTTCCAGTTTTTTTATAAATTTTAGTTTATGATATTAATGATTAAATTGGGCTATCAAACTATTTTGATTGAAGATAAATTATATATTTATTTCATATATAGACAAAGAAAATAAATAATTAGAATATTTTGGATTATTAAATAATATTTATTGTATAAATTAGCATGGTACTACATAATTGAACTTTTAATGGGAATTATCCATGTTGAATTATTTAAATGTTCTTAAAATGTAGGGTCCCTACTCTAATCTTACCTACCTCTAAAACTAGTTATTTCACTAGAGAATTTAGTACGTGTGTTGTGTGAAAACCATAGTAACCAGTGCACAATCAATCGTTTCTCACTATTGTTTTTTTCATAGGTTAGTCAACGTTTTGTACAAATATGTTTACACAAATATTTACAAGAGAATAGAATAATAACAAAAAATAAACATATATATTAAGAATTAGAAGTAGTTCAAGTTTCACTCAAAGTTCGTTTAAAATTTATATATATATATATATATATATATATATATATATATATATATATATTTCTTAAATTCATTAATCTTAGATTTTATTAATTTATTTATTTTTTGTTTTAAGATATTTTAATTTTATAAAAAAAAAACTAATGTTAGAAATACAAAAGAAACCAAACCTTAATAGATTTAACTCCATGTTTTTTGTTTTATCTTTTTTTTTTCCTTTAATTTTTTTGGGTGGTCTTCTAAGTCTCTAAATAGTAGAACCAAGTCTATTGAATAATTTACCCAACACATCAACAAACATTTTGGGACTATGATGGCTAAACTATACATTTTACTGTTAAATTTAATAATAAAAATAGTGCCTTAAAGACACAGCATCTTATAATTTGTAATCTAAACTTGTTATTATCTGTTGCTTAATTATGAAAATATATTACATGTGATCCAATTTTAGTTCCTTAGTTACGAAAATGAAGAACACATATAAAACATTTTTATAAAATGAGATAAATAATTTTGCTTTCAAAGCTTAAAAGAATATATAATTTTGTGAAACTATAAAAAGAATGTTATAAATATGTTATTTTAACGTTACTAATGTAATGTTAATAACTTCACTACACATGACAACATATAATAATAATAACATGAAAATGTTTAATTTATTAAAAAAGTTATTAGAGGTGAATTTCATTAGTATACATAGTCTATAACTCTTTACATAAAGGGACAATGACAATATAATAATAACATGAATAACTCATATTTATTTATTATAAAGTTATGAGAGATGGTTTTCACTAACACATTTAGTTGTATATATAAATCTTTAAAGAAAGGGACAAATATTTTATTTAAAGGCATTTCATAATTATAGTAGGTAATTGTCACATGTTTATGGTTAAATTATTAAGATAAGAAATGCTAAAGTGAGAGAATGCATACAAAAATAAAAGAAAAAATGCATAAAATTTGGTTTAAAGTTGAATTATTTAAACAAATAAAGTAAAAACAACAACAAAATGCCTAAGATAAATTATTAAAATATTTATCCAAACATCAACTAATGAAATGAAATAGTCAAGAATTACCCACGACATAAAATTTAAATGAATATTACAAGTTCCAATTCTTATAGAGAATTCAAATGCACTATTTAGAGAGGAGACATATTAAACTTCTTATCATCTAAATTTGTAATAATCGTTCAAAATTTCTGATTAGATTAATAAAGTAACAAAAACATTTTTAAATTATATATTATTAATCATTCGAGTCCTTGACACTATAACAAATTATTAAATTGGTATTAGACTTAATATAAAAGAAAAATAACTCGTGAAATTTAACAATATATAATTCAAGGACTATATTGATGAATAATAAATACATAATTTAAGGCTCATTTTATCAATTGTAAAATTAGTACTGTCATTATTACAAATTTAATAACATATTAAATTGATAATTTACTTTTTCATTCTAAATTATTGTTTATAATATTGAAAATATATACATGTATTTTTATCTTACTTTTAGGAAAATTTGTTATAAAATTTAAATTATTTGTTTTT